CCTCACTAAGCCGCCAGCCCATCGCAACCTCCGCCCGCATGCACTCAACCGACCACATCGACGAGCAAGGCCCAACAAACGACGACCTCTTCAGCCAGCTCCCGGACGGCAAACGCCGCAAATTCATCCTAGTCGACGACCCACAGCGCGGCTGCCGTGTCCGCGTCAAGGTCGTCCTCGACAAAGTCAACATGGACGAAATCCCAGACTCCTACCGCGAGTCCAACGCCGTCTATCCGCGCACCTACTTCCCCATCCAGATGCGCGACGAGAACCGCGTCGTCCCCGCTAAACGGTTCTTCCGCGATGACACCGAGCAAGCGGATGATCCAGAGGCATCGACTATCGGCCGCACGACTGTGCCTGCACCGTCGCTTGACGCCGAGACTGAAATCGAGGTTCCGAAGACCTCACGCAGAAAACATCGTAAGGAGTTGATGCTTAATGATCTCGGCTATCGCATGAGCTGGAGTCAGAGTCGTGTGTTTTCGGGACGGATGTTATTTTTACAGCGATCGTGTAAGTGTTCACTTGTATTTTTCTTATTTTCTTATTTTCTTGTTTTCTTGTTTTCGTCTTATATCATCATTTTTGGGGGGGGGGGGGGGGGTTCGGTATTGTTTCACCTGAACCCATCCATCGCACACGTGCCCATGGAACAATCTGACTGCGGCTGAGACAAATGAGAGACCCCGCTAACCGTTTGCAAATAGTGGATGCCTATCGCGATAAAATGAGAAGCAGTATGCTCGCTGCGGGCCAAGATGCGGGGGATATTCCTGATCATTTCGATACTCGTCGTGGCAAGCGACGGTTCCTGGAGCGTGGACGTCGACTGGAGTCTAGTTCTGAGAATGCTGCGCAGCGGGATGCGGAGGAGGTTGAAGGTTGAAGGCCATATCACTTTTTTATTTTTATTTTTCATTTTCTTCGTTTTCATTTTCATTTATTTATTTTCAGATATTTACCTTTTAACTTTTCTTACCTGTGGTTTTTGTTGGGGTTGATTTATATTCGTTTTCGGTCGAGGTATGCCAGGGCGTTGACGGGTTGCGGAAGAAAACGAGAAAATTCCAAAAACAGGAGGGGGGAAAGGATTCGCAGGGAGATGAATATGGTCTAGTGATATGGCTCAGATGATACCACGACCTTTTATTTTACTTTAGCGTTGAATGAGATATATGAATGTGTTTATATAGAAATCTTGTCCGTTGGATAGTTGACAGTCACATGGGGGATAAAAATAGCCACGTAAGGGACTGGTCCACATGGGACCCTGGAAGACCCTGGAAAAGAACCCTGGAATGTTGAAATTACAGTATACCCATGTTCACGCCAATAATGGAATGGTTTATAAAATACATGGGATGTACTCCGTACTAACCGACTAGTAGTGATTGGTGATTCACCAAGCTTTCCCAAGGTTCCCCGTTGTCCCGGCCACGCCCTTATTTATCCCGCTAACGTACTGTGTACTGTGTACTTTTTGAATTCTTGCTTATTTCTAGCAAAGGATTCGATTTTCCTTTGTCTCAGAACTGAATTCCTGCATTCAGTCTAATTTCTGCCTTGGCACCTTCCTTGCATTTTTCTCCGTTCGCGGATTCAACGGGTCTCAACATCTGAACTTCTTATTATTCAAAGTCCGGTCTACACCGGACACCCGGTCATCCTCAACTCCCTCAAAATACAAACCAATAAGGCATGGACATCCCACCCCCAACCCATCGATATTCCCACGGCTCCCGCGAAAACCACACCATCACACCAGGCATGGACAATCTCGGTCCCAGTTCACCAGGCGGTGGAATCAGCGGAATCGCCCTAGGAATCGCCAATACACACAGTCGCCAAAGCGGCATCGAGGCATCTCACGGCATAAACGACGGATACACCGGCCCTGCAGAGCGCGACTATAACACAACCGGTTCAGACACACCCTACGTCCCCTCAGCAGACTTTACCAGCGCCGACTCGCTTCGTCCCGAACACTCCCACGCATTGAACATGGCGAGAGGCGGCACTCTCGCCTCGCCCGCTGTGCAGACGCCCAGTCAATCGTCTATGCATCTGAGCGATCCTGCACACAGCACATACCAATACCCCGCGCCGTATGCGGGTCTCACCGGTGGACCTTATCAGCGACACTCGACCGCGTACAGTAATGGCGAGATGTCGAATATCAACCCAGATATCAACCCGGACGACATCGCCGATGATGGCGATGAGGACTTTGCTCCCCCACGTAATCGAGCTGCGCCTGCTGCAGCCGGCGCGACTGGCGGCGCCGCTGCTGGTGGCCTTCTGAGCGGCCTGTTTGGTCGCGAGAAGAATGTCGATGTCGCATATAACTCGGTTCCCGGTGGTGGGTTGGAGGGCGGCGGGGAAGGCTCGGGGAGATCACTGAATAATGGAGTGGACGGACGCAAGAAGATGGGCTGGATTGTCGGTCTTGTTCTCGGGTTTGTGATTCTGGGTGCGATCATCGGCGGTGCAGTGGGTGGTACAATTGGTAGTCGGCACAATGAGAACAAGTCGAAGTCTGCCGGTTCAGAGACTGCTACGGGTGACGCAACGACCAATGGTGATCTCGACAAAGATTCCTCGGAGATCAAGGCCTTGATGGGTAACACGGACCTCCACAAGGTCTTCCCTGGAATCGACTACACGCCGTGGGGTGTGCAGTACCCGGACTGTGTGAAGTGGCCTCCGTCGCAGAATAACGTTACCCGTGACATGGCTGTCCTGTCGCAGTTGACCAATACAGTGCGTCTCTACGGTACGGATTGTAATCAGACCGAAATGGTTCTCCATGCGATCGATCGTCTCGAGTTGAAGGATATTAAACTTTGGCTCGGTGTATGGATTGACTCGAACACTACCTCGACCGAACGACAGATCAAACACCTCTACCAGCTCCTCGATGATACCAAGGACACATCCATCTATAAGGGTATCATTGTCGGCAACGAAGCCCTCTACCGCGCCGGCGATAGCAAGCAGTCTGCCGAGACGACCTTAATCTCGTACATCAGAGACGTCACGAAAGAGGTCAAGAAGCGCAACCTAGATCTATTGATCGCAACCTCCGATCTGGGCGATAACTGGAACGCAGAGTTAGTGGATGAAGTGGACGTCGTCATGTCCAACGTCCATCCCTTCTTCGCTGGTGTCAATGTCGACGTTGCTGTTTCGTGGACATGGGATTTCTGGCAGACCCACGACGTCTCCTTGACCAAAGGCACGAGCAAGAAGCAGATCATTTCAGAGGTCGGATGGCCCAGTGGCGGCGGCAAGGACTGCGGTGATAGCAAGGTCTGTGACGAAGACACGCCCGGTTCTGTCGCCAGTATCGAGAACATGAATACTTTCATGTCTGACTGGATCTGTCCTGCGCTGGAGAATGGAACTGATTATTTCTGGTATGTATTCGCTATCCACACGTTCTTCAACCGGTCTATTCAGATTACTAACACTAACCCTCTACAGGTTCGAGGCTTTTGATGAACCATGGAAAGTCCAGTTCAACACGCCCGGCAAAGAATGGGAGGATAAATGGGGTCTTATGGACTCGGCTCGCAAGCTCAAGAAGGGTCTCAAGATCCCAAACTGCGGTAACAAGACGGCCTCATAAGATGCTGTCAGATCTGGCTGTGGCTCTTTTATGGAATCATGATCATGAAATTTTCTTTTATGTGCATATGTATCGTGTTCTTAGTCTCGCTTTTTGTTCTGCACTGGCGTTCGTCGTTCTATTTCCATTACCATTCATCACGATGGAACCCCCGAAGATCTCACCTCTCATCCTTTGCATCTTTCCTCGGATTTACATCTCTTCTATTTCGATTCGAAATCTCGGGGGTTCTCTCTCTGGCGGTCCATCATCTTTCCTGTCCTTTCATCTTTGTTTACACATTGCTGCTCGTCTTCGGGACATGCTTGATTTTACCTTGCATATCTTCTGTGGTTCTATTTTCATTCCTTTCCGTTCCATTCATGAGGAGGGTCTTTAGTATCAGCTTGGCGGTGGAATTTTTGTCTTCATGGGATATTCACAGGGATCGTTTGCATGTTTTGCCTTCCGTAGCTATATTATATACTAGTTATCCTCTGTCTCAATGTACAAAATGGGTCAATTCATCAATTCTCGGTGTGCTTGGAATTCCCTATAAGAACTACAATACAAATGTATGCACCCACTTGTTTCATTGATCATTATCATTATGTACCCTCAAGCAAGCCCTTCAGTGTTGTGCAAAATACAGGAATCAGACAACAATAGAAGTGGAGCCATAAAAAGAGAAGAACCTTGAAGGGAAAAAGCATCAGATGTTCGGACAACAGAGATCTATCTCTGTGGAAAGGTTCCAAAAATGGGCTCAAAGCGCACTTTGAGCACATAGGAGATGCGAACAGAGGTCCTTGGTTCGGCCCGTGATGGATGGAGAACCCAGGAAAGTACAGTCTGTATCCACAGAGGTGAGGTTAAGATAGCACGATCGGTTCCTAAGGGAGGCCCCTAAGGGTTCCCCTGGAGCTCCTTTCAAACCATCCGCCCAAAATGCTTCGTGCTTGAACTAGGCCCGAGGCCCTAGCCCAGTTTCAACCTTAACTAGACCGTATCAAAGACCCACTCAATGCCCTTAGGGTGCACCTTCTCTTTACTGGACAACAGCATCCGTATGTTAAAGTATGGAGGGGAGGGGTATTTATACCGTCCCAATGGCTGAAGGCAAACAGGGAAACTGGGGTGACGAGTTTTGATCTAAAAGGGAAGGCATCTGATCGGGGAGGTACGCGAGTACTTCACCAGCCTTGGAAGGTGTACATGCGTGTATATATGAAAGATTATGATATTTGACTCGGTCTCAAGTTCAAACAACCTCAAGATCACATTAACGCCAATCCCATGCATACCTAACCTAGTCTATAATCTCTATAATACCATGCATCTCTAATAACCCAAAATCTCCAAAATACCAAAAACTTTTATATAGATATCACTCCGTACCCACGACCTCCTCAACCCAATATAGCCTCATATTCCAAAAAGCATGCTCAAGCGCTTCAAACACCGGCAAGCAATACGACCCAGCGCTATCCACATAACCTTGCAGTACACCTCCAGAGTCGGCATGCTCAAGCGGACCACCGAACAACAGCCACGGTTTCGACGGCAGCAACAATTCAAGATGTTTGCGCTCTGCGCCGGGGCAGAATAGCATAGTGTTCGCTGTAATGTGCGAGAACGCCTCTGGGTGTTTGATGACGGTTATATTCAGGGATGCGAGGAGAGATTCGTCTAATGTGTTGAAGACAGGGTCTTGGGCGTAGACTTTGAGATTGGAGGAGGTATTGCCTGTGAGCGGGGCTGTTGTTAGCGTGGGGTATACTGAGTATGCCAATAGTCGAAGCAGAAGAAGATCAAAGTTGATCCAAGATATAGCCAAAAAAAGAAGAAGGAATATATCCAAAAACGAAACCGAAGCAAGAAAGCCAAATCCAAAAAAGATCGGGATACGAACAGGCAACTTGATCCTTTATACTTGCCAGCGCAGCAAGCTGATAAAGCGACACAGAGCGCCGATCAACCCATCCATCACGCAGGAACCCACTCGGGCTCCCAAGCCCGATGCAGACAATGGCGTCGACGGGGCAGAGGCTTGGAGACGATGAAGTAGGGCCACCAGCATCAGAAGAAGAAGCTTGTTCCTGCGCCCTCTTCAGCCGTTCATCCAAAACGCCCGTCAACTTAGTCCAACTCTCCGAACCCTCCCACCTCTCACGATGGGTTTGGAACTGCGCCTGCAGCTCGGACAACGTGAGTCGACCCGGTGCCTCTGCGGGGGTCAGGGTGGGTTCTTCGGGCAGGTCAGAAGATATCCCGGACTCTGATTCCTTGATTGCAGTTGTGCCTCGCGGACGTGCGCGCATTACGCGCCGCACGTTGCCGCTGCTCGCGACATGGGTCCAGCCATCGTCGTCGGTCACTTGGGTTCGTTTTTGGGTTTGTCGTTTTGGGCGGGAAGGGTGGGATGTGTGGGGCATATTTTATATATGTATAATTATATAAATATTGTTGGATTATTGATGTATTGGGATATTATATATGCCTTAGATTTATTGAAGCTTTTTTTTTTTTGGAGATGCGGGGGAAATGCTTGGCGGGACTCCAAAAGGCTTACTAAGTGAACGGGCTGGAGGAGACTGTATACCATTCCAAGACAAGGTTAGGGTGAGATAAGAGCTACATATTCGGGTGAAAGAGTGAAATGCTTTGCAGGAAACAAAATCCAACAATTCAGAACTTATCCTCTGAGCACACTCGCACATTCTGTAAGCGCTCAAGTTGTTTCCCCGAACGTTAGCGTCACCCCCTCGGCGCTTCCACCGCTGGTCGCTCAGCAAATCATCGTGCAGTATCACCCTTTAGGTGATGGCACTTGCAGCGGGTTGTGATGATCCTAGGCTACCCCTGCTCTTCATCACTACCCGGAGCCAGTCACAGATGCCTCGCCATGCAGTCTCGGTCACATCTGCTTTCCAGGGTTCTGACTCGTCCGCCCTAGTGAAGGCCCGTACCCCTCAAAAAGACCATTTAGCCCTCGAAAATCATGGCTTGGTCTTGGTCTTGGAGTTTCTATGATTTTGGTATCCAATTTGCCAATACCGTTATCCTCCCTTTCCTACCTGGTTTATTTATCCTGCGATCGGAGAAACTGAGTCCAAGTCTCATTCAGCGACAGCTGAATAATTCCTGTTCATCTCTCGCAACTTGTAACCGTTGTCGTATCTCACCATGAGTTTCACACGATCCATATCGCGATGGGCTTCTGTCCTACTCCTGCTGTGCTTGGGTCTGGCGCACGCTCATACCGTCATCACTTACCCTGGTTATCGAGGAAACAACCTCCACACCAACGGCACCGTCGAGCAAGCAAATGGTCTTGGTGTTGCTTATGATGTGAAGAATGGCTCATATATCTACCCATACGGCATGGAGTGGATTTATCCCTGTAAGTAAAACCTCTGTATTTGTCCCTATACATATCAATCACTGACTCGAACTTTTCAAGGTGGTGGTATGCCCAGGTCGACCAACCGAACCAAGTGGCCCGTCAGCGGTGGTGCTGTCGCTTTCCAGCCGGGCTGGTTCCCAGGCCACGCCACTGCCCTGATCTATATCAATCTCGGCTTTGGCGAAACCCCACCAAACATGAGCCACCCGGTCGTCCCGCCCTTCCAAATCGTCGGCCCGACCAACAACCCTTACCCTGGTACCGTGTGTCTGCCCCAGGTTCCTCTGCCGACCAATATCTCCGTCAGCCCGGGTGACTATGCCACCATTCAGCTGGTCGAGACCGCCAAACACGGTGCTTCGCTATTCAATGTATGTCCCCAGTCCCCTTATTTTCGATCCGCCAATCTATATACTGACTTGGCTCTAGTGCGTGGACATTGAGTTCGCAGAAGATGGCGATGCGTCCGTGGAGACGGTCACTCGCGACAATTGCTTCAATTCGTCTGACATCTCTTTCCAGTACATGTACACCACCAGTTCAATTGGTTCGGGTGCGGCGATGCTACAGCCCCCGAAACTGTCGGCTGCGGCTGTCGTGCCGTTGCTGCTGGCTGTCGCCTTCGGCGTGTACATGTAGATATGTCGAACTTTCTTGATTGCATTTGTGTGCGCTCCTTGCTTTTGTCTTTCTTTTGCGCCATACCCCTGGTTTTCATTAATCTATGACGCTTCAAAATCAGTGTTGATGATACTGCATGTCTATGTCTTCCTGAAATGGACTATATAATTGACGTTTTGGGTCTTTCTGGCGTTGACTGGTGTTTGGGCTTTATTTCTTTAGCTCTACGGAACGAATATATATGTGTCCAATTTGATGATCTTGTGAAGTAGATTTCAACCTCGGCATGCACTTGTTGTTTTGCTGTTGTGCTATTTTCATATAGCTTCCAACATCATTGAACCGGTACATTGCTGTGTCCTATTTCTCAGTCAGATGGTGCTATCTCAATTCTAAAGTCTGTAATAATTGAGTTTTGCAACGGTGAGTAGTTCCTTTTCAGGATTCGGAGATGACCTCACCTTACCACTCGCTCAATATTAACTCATACAACGGTACCCCCATCGAAAATAACTCACTTGAAGCAGCATTCACCTCGACGAAAATCAATCTTGTTAATTCACCTCATCCAAGTCTATCTTTCTCTTTGATTTCAACGTCTCGGGGTATTGATCACAAACCCCACGGACCCGTTTTAGTATAGGGCGACTAATTTTCTAGCTTAGGCTTCTTGTACATGTTTATCGCTGAGGCCTACATCTTCTTATCTACTGCTTTCATTGATGATATCAATACTGCCGGAATAGTATTTTTAAATTTCGATTTAAGACATGTGTTTTCCCATAGAAAGGAGTCTTGTGGGCGTTTTGTTGACGGTCCAACCTTCCCGATTAGGACAGACCGTATGTAACTATACTATTCTCTTCAGTTCTGAGTGTATTAGGCATTTCACACTTGCCTATTGTTTCTTCCCTTCTTTCGACAATATCTTACTTCAAAAACAGTCTCGAACCAATCACGATGGGTTCAAGAAAAAAAAGAGTAAAAAAACGACCACTATGAGATTCGAACTCACAATCTCCCGATGACACTATTAACTAGGAGTCGGGTGCCTTAACCATTAGGCCAAGCGGCCAATCTATGTGGATCCACTCCTGTTAGACATTTTGTCAGATACCATGCAGGTGCCAGGTGAAACTAAATTGCAAACTGAACCGCTAACATACAACTATCAAAAACTATAATGGAGACCTATTGAGCTGTTGAAATCAAAAGATTTGCCAACGAACTACATAACTAAGCACATTCTACTCGTTAGAAAGTCACTTGGAATTGCCTCTGAGCGGCGGAAACCATTCACCATCCTAACGAATACTACGTGCACTTAACGGTGATATGGTGATATGGTGATATGGCTGTTTACGATTAACCCCGGAGTACGCTGACATGCCCTCAAAACCAAAATATAGTCCCTAATCATGGCAAAGTGCTTTGTTGCCTCTGGGTAATTTACTGTCAGACCTATATTGTACATGACAAAGGGATAAGCCCGGCATGTCTACTCCGTGCTATACTACCCATACCAGGCAGTACGTTTATAGCCAATTGATATCCTTCTAGCTATAGCATTAAGAGAAATTAGGACTTTCTATATGTCATTCACACCATTACCAGGCTTCCTTGGTGCACTGATTGAGAGTTGGATAGACTATCCTAGTGAGGATGCTATGTTGCTGCTTCACTTGGCCTGTCAAATCTCCTATCTTTATGCTCATGTGCCCGCCCTAAAACAGCGATCATTCGCTGAACAGATGAAATGTGAAAATCGCCAGTTCCACTTTGATGTATTGGCAGGAATGGAGACGGGCACTATCCAATTCAGAAAGCATCAGCGTGCTATTCGAAATGTTCTATTACAGGGCCAGTATGAACTACGGGAATGTTCGGCGTCTCGTGATAATGAAGATCTTTCTGATACAGGGAGATTGGAGATATCATTATGAATGGTAGACAGCAATATTCTTCCATGGGAGCTTGTTTCGCCGTCTAACGCTTCAAATGCAAACCCCGCTGTTGGTTATTCCAGGGATTCAAAATTGGCATACGAAGACGGGGTGGATATTTAGTTGATTATAACTACATCACCAGAATCCCAACCTATATGCCCATAATATATCACCAAGCAGAGAAATACTGTAACTTCCACTAAGAATAGTATAACAGGCTTGTTATTCATAGTGCAACCTTTACTAACTTAACTTGACTTGCAAAATATAACACAAGTATTACGTAGATCATATTGTGTCGACCAAATCTATGATAAAAAATAAGTCTGAAAACAGCCAAAACGACACACCATCTTGTTTCAGAGCTCACCCAGCCTAAGAAGGGACCGGTGTTGAGATATAAAAGAACGTCAATAATACAGGGTGGGAAAGAAAAACGAGGGTATCATGGAAGCGAACAACTCCAATGGGCCACACCGGAAGATCAAAAAGAAATAGAAAGAAAGAAGAAGAAGAAGAAGAGTGAGAGCGAGAGTGTGATGCCCAGTTTGGGGTTCAAGTTTTTCCCAAAGAGCGAGAGGGCGAGAAAGGTGGAATACAGGCCACAATCAAGATAAAAGAAAGAAAAGGGTGAGCCAGAAGAAGCAAAAAAAGGGGCGTATATAAGTCATTAGAGATTAGATATCGTAGAAGCTGGAGTCGATTTTTGAAGGAAAGATAACAGTAGTCATCGTAGGCCACATGTCTTCCCTGATAGAAAGGCGTGCGAAGAAAATTAAAGAAGGAATTAAAAAGATTTCGAGCTGAAATGTGAAACAAAGGTACCTGTTCAACCGTCTGACTCAGAAGCAAGGTTACCAGAATACAGTTCAGATCCGCGACATATGATCAAGCGCGCAGACCGAATGCCTTCCGAAGAAGAGGAAATCGTTTCTTTCGTCCCGAGCCAGCAATCACGATGTCGCGTGCCGAAAGCCCATGATCATCGGGGTTCGTGACTTCAGAGGTGCTGTCGTTGCTCGGATCTGGTCCGCCGCGGGGAGCCTCAGGCTCCTTCGCAATCGGAGATGCACCGTGAGCGCCATTCCCATTGACAACGACGCTTCCATTTTGTGCTGCGCCGGCATCATATGTTGTCGGCGCGGGATTCTGCGTTTGGAGGGCAGACGACGGGGCGCTGTATGGCTGTTCTGCGACTGGCTGGATAGGCTCTTCTTCCTTGGCGTTGCGGTGGAGGGGCCAAGCGTCTGGTTCTGTCGAGTGACGTTTAGACTTTCTCTTCACCAGCTTGGACGAACGAGTCGGCTCCGGATTCCCGGCAGACACTGTGGTTGTTGTGATGCCGTGGTTCCCATTCACCATGCCCTCGCCGCGTAATTGATCGGGTTCCAGAAGCGACCGCTCTAGGGGGCTCTGGGCGTCAGCTTCGCTAACTCCATGATCCGAGTTCTTAGGTTTTTTGATCCCAAGTCGGCTCAGAAGTCCTTGCTTCCGACTATGGGGAGGCGCCATAATGAACTCCTCCAAGTCTCGTTGCGACATGCCACGTTGTTTGGCCACAGCTGCCATTCCAGACATATTTGGTGTGTTCTTTCTGCGGGACCCGGATGAAGAGAGCACTGACTTGGATGCAAGCACTGGGTGTGCTTGCTGCCGGGCGCTCTCTTCTGAACTATCTTCCAACTCTGTCGAGTCACCATCGTCAGCACCTTGGCGACGGGGGATACCGCGGACAGGGCGTAACTTATTACTTCCAGGCTCATCTTCATCGCTGGAATCTGCAAATCGACTGGTGAAGACCTGGGGCCGGGCTTCATCCTCGCCATCTGAATTTGCAAACCGGGTTGCGCGCGCCGACTTAGGGGGTGCTTTGGTAAACTTCGCTCTCGGTGGTGCTTTCTTGTTTGTTGAAAAGAACGAATATCGCTCACCTCCGGTAGGTCCTCGGAGAGTCTTGCGCATTGTGCCATTCGAGGAGCCAGATGAAAGAGGACGATGTTCAAGGGGAGACTCGTTGCGCTCTGTTGGAGATTGGACTCGAACATTAGTACCAGAAGTACCGGATCTCATTGTCCGTCGCATGGAGTGGGTATCTGCACGCGGAGAAGAACGTTTGAAGCTGCTTGAGGAATCACTTCCATTCGACATTCTCCGGCGGAGAGTGCCAGGGATACCTGTTTGTCCTCCTAAATTGTGTGAAGCCGGGCCAAGAGACAGTGGACGCGGATTGGCCTTGCTACCTCGCGGAGAAGCATCGTTGCTCGACCACCGGGGATCCTCTATATGAGACGCGCTATTCACGTCTACCGACATAGGGCGGGTTCGCGTGATGGGCTGTGCCTGGACGCTGCCATTTTGGGCAGCCGCATTGCGAGTTTGCAACTGGATTGGCACTGGCGGGTATGCGGAACCAAACCCATGGCTAACCGAAGAAGCAGGGGATTCCTCTACAAGGCGGTTGACAGTGCCTTGAGTCGGTGTCATGGAGCGCTCCTCAAGTGCTTGATCTGTCACTTTTTGTGACTGACTATCCACCATGGTGGCTCTACCGGTAGGCCTCGGTGTTGCGTCCCGGGATTCGCTAGCAATCTCCTCAATCGGGGCGGACCTAGGGGCTGACCGGCTATCGACAATGGCATTGATGGATCCAAACCCATCCCCATCCATGTCCTCCGCTGCATCGCTGTAGACGCTATCACCAGACTCCTCTTCGGTATCCACGTCGTCCAGCGTTGGAACGGCGCTCGCCACGGCCTGGGTGCTAGTATTCTTCGCAGTCGAATCGAGAGTGCGATCTGAACTGGAGGGCGGGAACCCGCCCGGAATCCTATACTGGTCCATGCTAGATCTCTTCATGTCGAAACTTTTTCTAATTCCGTCTGCCGGGGGCGTAGCAGGCTCGACAGCAATAGCAGGCACAGATAATTTTGAGCCCACGCTAGAATACGGCTGTTTCTCAGTGATATCATCGGCGACTCCAACTTCTCGTTTGGCCTCTGGGCTGGTACCCAAATGCGAAGTGTGCAGGCTGCCATCGATGGATAACTGCTCTAGAGCGCTCAAACCGCGTGGCTGGAAGTGTTCATTTGAGAGCGACATATCCGGCCTCGGCGCCTTCTCAGATGTAGACGAACAGCTGGACTCATTATCACTGAAATCTGGAATTGGTGACCTCTTAAGGGCACCGCCTCGGCTCCCCCGAATGCTTCCGAAAGAAGGAAGAACTTGTCGCGGTTTGATGACTACATCCCAGTCATCATCACTCGCAAACTCCGCGGGCGACTTCTTCTTGCCAGCACCAAGCCAACTCATCCGGGGCTCGGCTTTACCGCCGGGCGGAGAATCAGGTGTATATTCTTCTGGCGAGGTAGGAGGGCTGGCTGCTGGATGGACGACTTCAGCCTCGTCATCGAAACTGACCTTGACAGACTTCTTTCTAGTGTCAACCCGAGATCCTTCGTCTGAGGCCACTGAGGTACCATCTGATAGTTCAACCGATGGTAGAGCTCGACCGGTTGCCCCAACCCTCCCATCAGGCGATAAAGAGGCTCCCCTTGGGTGTTTCAAGGCCGATTTGACAGGAGATACTGATCTGGGTGGAGGCTGGTGAATTTGATCACCGGCTCCAGCTACAGAGAGCAATCTAGAGAAACGGGCAGTTCTACCTGGGCTGCTCGACTGACGATTTGGCGGCTGC